GAGCACCGTGGGTACGGGGTTAATCCCCTTTCTTACAATATATATATATATATGAATTTGAACGGATGGTGTTTTTGGCCTCTAGGGACCTCAAAACGAAAAAAAAATCGGTCCCGCGTCCAGGTCTTACCATGAGTACTACGGTAATAGCTTATTCCCTATATGGGAAATTTGCTAAAAAATAATAAAAAAACATTACGGTTATAATCTGGTAATAAAGTGTACTAGGGGGACCTGAGCGGTTTCGTACGAAAATACAATTGAAATTTCTCCTTGTATGAATGAATCCTTTCAATTAGTTAAGTAATCAATTTAAGTCATGAAAAAAAAATGTGAATAATGTGAATAATACGCTGAAATTGACTGCTCCTAGAAAACTACCTACCTAGGTTAGGATTGCATTTACAAGTTTGGCATTATATTTTATTTTAAGTCCTGCGACCTAATTTCAATACTCAGATAGTTCAATCGCTAGAAGTAGGTGAATCTAAGGTCATTTTTTTGTGAATTTTGGGATGGATTGTTTTTTTTAGGATGGGCTCTGTAGTGCAGCTTTAAAATCACTCCTTTATATCCTTGCTGCTAATCACTCTCTTGTCATCATCGCCCCTAGCCAAGGAATTCTGTGGAAGCAATCAAGGAACAGTAAAATCAACTAATAGTAACTAACTTTACTAATAGTAACTTCGCGGTAACTATTTGATGTTGAAAATCGATCGTTTGCGCAAATCTTATTAAGGTGTTAAAATAATAAGCCAAGGTATTAAATGATATGATCCAAGGATTTGGTGATATTAAGGTTCAATTAAAAGGTAGTAAATAGGGATGGTCAAGTCTCGAAATTTCGGGAAATTTTCGGGAAATTTAAAATCTCGTTACACGAGACGAGATTTCTTTTTGGCCGAGATTTTTATCGAGACGAGAATTTAAAAAAAAAAATAATAAAATAAAATAAATAAATAAATAAAAACGCCTGCAGAAAGTCAATGCAATACCCGCAATACAGGAGCGTGTTGTAGTTGCGTTTCCTTTGCGAAGGCGTTCTTATTTAATTAATTCTTCAAATGTAAATATTACTTTTATTATTTTAATAACATTTGAGAAGTTTTGTTAAATGTTAGCAGTGTGAAGAATGTTTTACTACTATAAAAAAAGTCAAAACAAGTAACTATTTTATAAAAATTAATATTTTATTTTATGATTTATTTTATTTTAGGATAAGTTGAACTCTATCCTAACTGATATCACTATGTTTCCTAATCGTAGGCATTTTTAATAATTTAGGCGTGATTAATAAAAAAAATGTTATGCTGATGTTTTTTAATAAAAGATTGTAAATATTCTTGCCTATTATCATTATTTTTGTATTTAAACAGTCATCTAACAATGTTACAAAATCAGGTAAAAATTCTCGAAATTTTATGAGAAATAAAAAATCTCGTCTCGTCTCGTCTCGAACTAAAAATCCAATCTCGTCCATCCCTAGTAGTAAATCAAGGTAATAAGTGGTTTGAACCAAGAATTTACTAGCAAAGGGGGATGTATGACAATCTATATCTATATATACAGTCTGATTGAAAAGTCCCGGAAAGGTGTTACATATTTTTACCATTATAGATAAAGTAATAAAACTTGGTATATCAGTAATAACCATAAGTGTCTACTCTTTCAAGAGATTATAACTTTTTTATCCCTTACGAGGGACAGCCCACGGGGAGTCTGATTTTAAGCCTATGTTGAACTGGTTTTATAATATTTTTGAATCTTGTGGTATTTGGATGAGATTGTTGACAGTCCTCGAATGTGTCAAAATTACTTTTAACCATTAAGAGTCTTCATCACCCTAGGTGTAGTTCCGTTTTGGGGTGATAGCCTTGGGGGGAAGGTGGTGTGGACGGTCGGGGAGCGCGGGGTCAGTATGCGCACATTTCTGAAAACATCGTGTAAACAAACTACTACTAAAGACGCGAACCCGCACCTACGCCCGCGCAGCGGCAAACTTATCGATCTTTTACATCACTAGCTGTGAGCGTGAAGAGCCCTTGTGGCGAGCGCAACTAATATTGTTTGTTAATATCAATAATATGCTTAACATTGTGCCTTAGCATTATGGATATTTACAAAATAAATACAATGACCTTCAAAACAAGCATTAATTCATTTTGTATTAAAGTTTTATCAGGTTCTGACGTTACGAATTTTCAAAGTTATGAGATAGGTAGTTTTTAAATCTCAGAAAGTATTAAATTAGAAAGTAAAATTAATTAGTCTTAAAATACCATGAAATTGTGTATTATTAGAATAATTAGAATTGCTCATTCTAGCTTAAAACAGCAATTACTTAAAAGTTTCATTATTTTGGCATGTGCAGTTGTGAATAACTTGTCAATAATATGTTTCTCGTGCGTACATAGCTTAGATCACAATTTCTCTATAGTAATTAGTTATTATGTCAATAGTGTCAACAGATACAATCAGCCTTTGAATTACAATTTAAATGTAAATTAATATTTAATTTGTATTTAATATTCAAGTCTATGAGACAATAATTTACATTACATAAGTTAAAACTATTTACAATAAGTATAAAGAAATTTAGGTTTGAATAATGTACGCCTACGGTTTTTAATCCTTCTTCGATTTTATTGTCTTTGGATGCACATAGTTTGCTGGATTCCTAATAGGCATTGATTTGGTGTGCCGTGGAACGATCAGTTCTGGCAGTAGGCAATCTATATAAAAGGCTTTTAGAGGATTTACCATTTTTTCTTGCCAAAAGGTGACCTCCACTCGAGCTCCCAAAGGTGTCCACAACACAAAGAAGCACATGTTTCTTTTTGTAATGTGAAGCTGGTCTTGGACTTGGTAAAAATAATTATGATTTTTATTTACACAGCCCACATCACCCGTCTTTTAACAGTCCAAAAGTTGAATTTTTTCCTTTTATGGCATCTTCAGGGGTCAAGTTTCTGCAGGATTCTGGACACTTTACTTCTATTATTGCATCATCTCCCACAAGCCCGTCTGGTGTTGCACCGAGATAAGGGATTTCGTTGTCTACAAAGAGTCCACACTTTGAAACAGATAATGCATTGTGCTCTTCAAACCATTCTATAGCGTTAATTTCATTACCCCTTCCGTACCTCATTGCTGGGCAATCAATGTCGGTATATAACAATTGTTTAACCATGTTTTCACAGCTAGTAGTTTTTCGCCTTTTGCAAATACTTCCAAAGTTAGAGGCAGTGAGAAGCTTCCTCCTTTCTTCCTTCCACATTCCACATTCTGATTGCATAACAGTAGCTTTTTCAAGCTCTTCTCTTTCTTCATCTGTTCTTTTAAGGCTTTTGATAAATTCCCTTTTCTTTCTCTCCAGAATGTCTGGTTGCATGTCTGGCTTTTGAGCTAAGGGTCCATAGCTACTTTTCGACATTCTTTTCTCAACGATAGAATTTTTTTTCAAATTGTGTCTCTTTACTTGTGTTTTTCTTTTAAGTGCAGCCTTGCGTATTTTCATTGCTCTTTTGATACCATTGATACCATTGATTGTTGGATTTTGTTTACCTATCATTGTACCGCATTTTATGTCAGTGTTATAAACATTGTTTGTCAAATATTGTTGACAGTTTAACGTTGTACTTACGGTTGAAATTCAGCAACAGATGTGGAATCTTTAGAAACTTCCATTTGTTATCTCTGGTATAATTTGTCTAATAGTCAAACTTCTCTCAACTTGCAACCTAAAATTAAAAAATAAATTGTAATTATTTATGTAGAATAATTAATTTTAAAAAATTATGTTACGTTAGGTTTTTCGTCGTCATTTTTGTTTAGGAAATAATGAACAAAAGAACTGTAAACGTTTTGAATTTCACCTCACAATGAGTTTACACTCTCAGAATAATTATTATGTAACGATAGCCTACTATTATATTCCATCGATTTTGTACTTACGGTTGTAATTCTGCAACAGAGTTTAAATTGTTGGAATTTTCATCTGTTACTGGGTGTGGCTCGATTTCATTAACAATCAATTCCCTTTCACCTTGCAACCTAAAAGTTTAAAATAAATTGTCAATAAGTGTACAGAATAAACATTATTAAAATCATATTAGATTAAAATTGTCGGTACAAGTTGACCGAATGTTTGTCACCCTCAGACAACTTATTGTACTACAGCCCGCCCTCGCAAGTCCGACGCTGTGAAATCCGACGCGCCGTCAGGCGCCGCTACGGGAGCAAAAATAAGCATGCAGTGACATGAAACACTGTGACTCACGTCTCGTTGCCGACGGAGCCCTTCCGTTCAGTGTTCAGTTGACTTTCAAGACGTGTAGTACACTTTTCCGTTGCAGTCGTACCTTTGTTAGTAAGTGCAAGTGTTCGTGTACAGTACAGTACAGTAGTTGTGTGAAATGGCTAGTACAAGTGGTGTTAAACGGAAACACAAAACTTTAACAATATCGGAGAAGTGGGAGATTATTAAAAGAATAGATAGCGGTGAAACGCCGACTGCAGTAGTGAAATGTTATGACATCGGACGGCCTACGATCTATGATGTAATGAAGAAGAGAGAAAAAATTGAAGGGTTTATGAAGTCTGTTGAAGACGACGCTTTAAACAGGAAAACACTGAGAACAAGCGAGTTTCCTGAGGTGGAAGAAGCACTGTTCATTTGGTTTAAACAACAACGCACACGGAATGCTCCTATTTCCGGAGACATACTTAAACAAAAAGCTCAATATTTCTACACAGAAATAACAAAGAAGGATGATTTTCGAGCTAGTCATGGATGGTTCGAAAACTTCAAAAACGCCATGGTATACGGTTTATGAAGATGAGTGGTGAAAAGGTATCTGCTGACAAGTCTGAGATTGATGCGTTCATTGAAATGTTGGACAAAAAAATTACTGAGCTTGGTTTAGTTCCCGAGCAACTGTACAACGCCGATGAAACCGGGTTGAATTGGCGACAGCTCCCGGCAGAAACATTTGTAAGTGATGAGGAAAAAAAAAGTGTCTGGAAGGAAATTGCAAAAAGAACGACTCACGCTTATGGTGTGTGCTAATGCATCAGGCACTCATGCTTTAAAACTGCTTGTTGTAGGAAAATCAAAAAACCCTCGAGCATTCAAAAATGTCAAGGTTGAATCTCTGCCAGTAACTTACAAGTCACAAAGTCGTGCTTGGGTCACAAAAGAAGTTTTTCATGACTGGTACACTAACAGCTTCGTTCCACAAGTTAAGGCTGAATTAAAGAAGAACAAGTCACCAATGAAAGCCCTTCTTTTACTGGATAATGCGCCAGGACATCCTGATGCTGATGAATTGAAAATCAAAACTGCTGATGGCTACATTGAAGCTATGTTCCTACCAAAAAATACCACAGCTTTAATCCAGCCCATGGATCAAAATGTGATAAAAACTCTCAAAGCTCACTACAAAAAGCGCATTCTTATGGATGTTGTCAGTCAACCTGATGCTGATATTGCAGCGATTTTGAAAGCTTTCAACATTAAGGACGCCATTTTGAATGTTGCATATGCTTGGCAACAAGTGAAAAGCACAACTTTGATCAAATCTTGGAAAAATGTATGGCCTAACAATCCATGTCTTACAACATGTAATCCTACATCCAGCAGCGACCCAGAACTATCAGCTATCGGACCCTAACTTGACCTGTGCATCAGTAAAATTATCTATTTCTCTAAAAAAATATCTTTACTATTAGTACTACTTGTACTCTGCTTGTAGTTACAACTTGTACTCTGCTTTTCACTACCACTTTTGCACTTGTTACTTTCACTATGCTGTAAGGGTGAGAGGAGGGAAGGTGTTGAGGCTGGCCAGGGTAGGCACATCATCTGGCCGGGGACGCGGAAAGGTCTCCCCCAGAAACATCTCCCCCCTACGTCATATTGACGTCAGAGACCGGGGGGGTGATGTTTCCGTTCAGTTGCAGCAAGCACTCGTCGATATGACGAGTTATTTTTGAGTTTGCATATTATTTAGATAATTATTTTCACTTATGATATACAATTACCAGACATTCTAATTGCAATTGATGTTAACCGGATACGTTACCCCCGATCGTTTTCAAAATGCACACCCCGGAAAGGTCTCCCCCCGGTATACCTGCCGAAGGGGCTCGGGCTCGTGATTCGAGCCAGCTATTGATTGATTGATTGATTCTGTAGGGGCGGACCTTGTCCTGTTGCACGTCAGCCACTGATGGGCTTTTTGCGCTCCCCACATGGTACTTCAGAGTCCGTCAAACCTGAGTTGCTTAATGAACTCCAGCATCCTGTCAATGAGCTCCTCCTGAGGAAGGTGTCTGCCCCTTGTCATTGCACCAAGAGTACTGTCCCTTACCTCATTCAGAGCTGTGCAGTCGTAGAGTAGGTGATCAGCAGTCTCCTCTGATTGCCCACATTTCCTGCACGCAGTGTCACCATTGTGGATCCTCAAGCGATGCAGGTGTAATTTCAGAAAGCCATGTCCAGTGACCATTCCTGTGATCTGTCTGAGTCGCCTCCTGTCCAAGCGTAGGGCATTGGAGGCGACCGTCTGGGAAGGGGAGAAGAGGGTGAGCTTACTTACCCTATGGTGCTGAAGCCTAACCCATCTTTTCCTGTGTTCCTCCTGAGCCCATGCCATGACTGAGTGACATGCATGCCCACGAGAGATTCCACAGAAAGGCTGTGGTCCCACGAAGTCTGAGGCTGACGCGACATTTGCTAGCCTGTCAGCCACCTCATTCCCTTCTATAACTGAGTGCCCAGGAACCCAACAGAGCGTTACCTTGTTGCGCCTGCCCAGGTCACATACCGCAGAAAGGCAGTCCCAGACCACCTTAGAATTGAATTCATAGGAGTCAAGCGCTTTGAGCGCAGCCTGGCTGTCTGTGAAAATGGAAATGTTGATATCCCTGAAGCCTAGCCTCAGGTTTTCCCTAGCACATACCATAATCGCAGTCATTTCGGCCTGGAACACAGTTGGGTGAGTGCCCATAGGAAGACAAATGTCCACCCCGTACTGCACTCCATGAATTCCAGCCCCAGTCCCACTTCTTACCTTAGAACCATCAGTATACCATTCAAGGTCGCCTTGTGGAAGAGGATTCCCACCGGACATCCACTCATCCCTGGACGGAAGGAGGACAGTGAATGGTCTGGCGAAGAAGAATCGAGTCGGCATATGATCCGAGGGCATGTCCATTACCTCCCCTCTTACCTGCTGAGTGATCCGAGAGTGACCTCGGGATCCTCCAACATCCAACCAAAGGTTTTCACACTGGAGTCTGTAGGCAGTCCTCCTCGCAGTGACCTTGACATGCAGGTCAATCGGAGTGAGGTTGAGAAGGCAGTCCAGTGAGGCTCCCGGACAGCTGCTCATTGCGCCCGTGATGATGAGACAGGCGAGTCTTTGGACGGCAGCCACATCTCTCACCGCCGACACTGAGTCCATCTTGGGCCACCACACGAGTGAGCCGTATGTCATGGCGGGCCTTACCTTGGAGACAAATAGCCAGTGCATGAGCGCCGGCTTGAGCCCCCAGGTTCCTCCCACCATACGTCTGCAGGCCATGAGTGACCACTTACCTCGATCAATGACCTTTTGGAGTTGTGGCCCCCATTGCAGCTTTCGGTCCAATACCACCCCCAGGTACTTTACCTGATTCTGCATTTCAAGCACTGTGTCTTGTAGTCTCAGAGGTCCTATGCCATTTAGATCGCGCCTCCTCGTGAAGGGGATAACCGCCACTTTGGAGGGGTTGATAGAAAGGCCAACCTCAGTGCACCATTGTCCAACTGACCTCAAGGCTGTGTTCATGAGGTCGGAGACCGTGTTGTTGAATTTACCCATAACTAGTATCACAATGTCGTCCGCGTATCCTTGAACGAATACACCACTATCACTGAGAGATCTAATTAGGTCGTCCACAACAAGGTTCCAGAGAAGAGGAGAGAGTACACCCCCCTGTGGACACCCTCGTGTGGTCCTGGCCTCCAGAACCTCATTGTGAAGAGAGAGTCTTACCTTCCTCCTCTTAAGTAGAGACTCTACCCACCTGCACACCACCTCATGGAATCCACGAGCTCTGGCAGCATTGATTACAGCCTGGGTTTCAGTGTTGTCAAAGGCGCCCTGGATGTCAAGGAAAGCCCCAAGGGCAATCTCCTTGAACTCAAACGCCTTGTCGATTCTGCTTACCAGGTGATGTAGGGCAGAGTCACAGGATCTTCCTGGGGTATAGGCGTGCTGGTTTCTATGTAGGGGATTGACTCTGAGGACTGTGTCCCCCACATACCTCAGCACCAGTTTCTCTAAGGTCTTCAACAGGAACGCGGACAGAGAGATGGGACGGAAGGACTTGGGATCCGTGTAACTTGCCTTACCAGGTTTTGGGATGAAAACCACCCTTGAGATGCTCCAGGCCGGGGGAATGTGTCCCAGGGCCAAGCTGGCCCTGAACAACTTACTCATTGCCGGAAGTAATATATCGATACCTTGCTGGAGACAGACAGGTCTTACCTCGTCAGGTCCAGGTGATTTGTATGGGATGAGTGACCCTATGGCCCATCTCACACGACTGTGTGTCACAATGTGGCACGCAACCCTCCACCGAGTGTTGTTTGCCCTTGCGACAGCTTGTTCCTCATCCTCCGGCACCAATGGCTCGCTTGGGATGATGCAGCCAGGGAAGTGGGTGGCCGCCATGAGCTTTAGCACTTCCTTAGGTACATACAGCATATCTCCCCCAGGCTCCTTGAGGGGGCCTAGCTTGGAGGAGTTGTCCTTTGTTAGGACAGTGTATATCCTAGATGTATCTCTTAACACTTTCTAGCTTGCTACAGAAATGTTTCCAGGAGAGCCTTTTGGCCCTCCTTACAGCCATGTTATATTGGGTTAGCAATCTATGGTAGCCATCCCAATTATTTGTCCTCTTTGCCCACCTGAACTGAGACCTGACTCTCTTTTTCAGGCTGGTGAGCTCTGTGGTCCACCAACTCACTTTACCCTGCTTCCTCACCGTTAGCGGGCAGCTCTCGTCAAAGGACATGACAATGGCCTCGCCTAAGCTAACAGAGGCAAGGTCTAGCGTGTTGGTGTCTCTGACCCAAGGGAACTGTGTGTCAAAGCATTCAATGCGCTCTTTAAGAGTTGATCTGTACATATCCCAATCTGCCTTTCTGGGATTCCTGAACTCAATCTTTTCCAAGGAAAAGTTACCAATGTTGAACATGATATGTCTGTGGTCAGAGAGGGAAGGTTCCTGGGATACCCTCCAATCCAGAATTCTGTGACTGATCCCCACGTTGGTTATAGTAAGATCTATTACAGATTCCCCAACCCTGCTATGAAAAGTTGGTTCTGAACCGACATTAGCAATCATTAGACCATTAGAGGCTAAGTATTCAAGAAGTGCCTTACCTCTTGCGTTATTATTCCTACATCCCCAAGCAGTGTTGTGGGAGTTGGAGTCACAGCCCAGCACGAGGTCGTCGCCGGTCCTGGCCGAGTGCTCGACCAGCTTCCTAACTTCCTCTTGCGGAGGCTGCGTGGGCTCATCTTGCGGCATATATACTGAAGCAAGTAGAAGACGCCGTCCGGACTCCCTGCATTTGGCCTCTACCGTCGTGATGTCTCTGGAACAAAATTCCAGAACCGGCACACAAATGGTGTCATTACTAGTCCAAATGCAGGTTCTAGGATTCCGGACCTGAGCCGAGAATACCTGGCCCCTAGAGACCCCCATTCCCGTTATATTGCCGTCTCTAACCCAGGGTTCCTGGATAAGGGCAAAGTCAAAAGCCCCACCCGCAGTACTCGCACAGAGTACCGCAGTGGCAGCTTTACTGTGCTGTAGGTTCGCCTGCAGTATTCGGATCGTCATCAGGAGCACCTGAAAGAACCTTGAGTTGAACCCTTGTTATACCCAAGAAAATCCTCCAGCCCCTGTCCCTCAGGAACTTGGCACTCCCGCAGTCAATTGCCAGAACCAGAGTTTGGTGTTCCGCCTCTCGCTTGCAACTGACCACTCTCCAGTCTCTGGTTGACAGTCCAGGATTCAGCTTCTGGACAAACTCAAAGATTTCTTTAGGATCTTTCCTGGCCAGGATCCAGTCGGTATGGAGAAGGACCTTGGTGGTACGCAGGAGATCTTTATGATCCCCCACAATCACACTCGGCCCCCCCACGCCCACCGGACCCAGACCAACAGCCACCTCCTTGAGCCAATCTCTGGTCTCCTCGTTTCCGCACAAGACTGCGAGGGCACCTTTGTCCTTGTAGGTTTTCAGGATCTGCTGAGGAGTGGCGGCCATAATAACCATCTCAAACAGTTTCTCCTGCAACAAGCAAAATTGTTCATCAGTGAACCTATCGTCAGGATAGTTCTCCGGAACAATCGCCATCTTCCAGCCCGAGAGTTGGTCCTTGAAGGTCAAGTCCTTGCTGGCATCGCCCTCTGCAGCGCTCCTTGGCGGCGGGGGTGGGACATCCCACCTTCTCGGCCGCTTTGGAGTCTGCTGAGTCTGATGCTGCTGCGGTGGACCTGAAACTCTGCGCATAGGAGAAATACCAGAGCCCTCTCCTCCAGCAGGACTGGGAGTTTCAGCCTGCCTTTTCCTCTTGGGCTTGTTGACAAACCCTTTGGATTTTTTGTACTC